TTAAGTGTATTTATTTTGAGAGAGACAGGGACAGTACAAGTGGAGGAGGGGCACAGAGAGAGAGAGGGAGAGAGAAAGAGAGGGAGAGAGAGAGAGAGAGAGATATTGAATCTTAAGCAGGCTCTGCGTTGTCAGTGACAAGGTTTGTAGAAGAAGCTTCCCACGGGGTGTGAGCAGCTTTTCTGCCACCACCCCTTCCAGTCTTTTCCAGCTATTAGCCTCTCAGGGAGTAACCTGGGTGAAAGCTGGCCAAACCGGTCACAGCACCTGGGGGCAAGAGGGGGAGAAGAGAGGCTCAAAGTCTGAAAAGCTGGACTTACTAGAGGCTGGCAAGACTGTGATACTTTTTTGAGACAGGTAACAACCTCAGAATCTTGAGTTTTAACAAGTTTTAATAAGGAAGTTTTCATTTGCATTTTAGTGTATTCTTAAAAAACTTTGTACTTTTTAAGCCTTTTATTATTTGAGAGAGAGAGAGAGAGAGAGGGAGGGAGGGAGGGAGAGAGAGAGAGAGAGAGAGAGAGAGAGACGGCACATGCACATGTGAGCACGGGAGGGACAGAGAGAGGGGGAGAGAGAGAATTCCCAGCAGGCTCCATATTCAGTGCCAAGCCCTTGGTGGGGCTTGAACCCATGAACCATGAGATCATGACCTGAGCCCAAATCAACAGTCAGACACTCAACCGACTGAGCCACCCAGGCGCCCCTTATGACATTTTAAAATAAGAGGTACAGGGAGCGCCCGGGTTGCTCAGTCAGTTAAGTGTCTGACCAGCTCAGGTCATGATCTCATAGTTTGTGAGTTCGAGTCCCACATCGGGCTCTGTGCTGACAGCACAGAGCCTGGAGCCTGCTTTAGATTCTGTGTCTCCCTCTCTCTCTACCCCTCCTCCGTTTGTGCTCTGTCTCTGTCTCTCCGTCTCTCTGTCTATCTGTCTCTCTCTCAAAAAGAAATAAATATTTAAAAAAATAAAATACGAGGTACATTCTCAAGGATCAAATTCAAAAGTTACAGAAGGGCATGCGGTGGCAAGGCTCCCAGTCTCATAGATTCCTTCCATGAAGGCAAATGCTTCACAGTTTCTATTTAATAAGATTTTTAAAAAACTGGGGGCGCCTGGGTGGCTCAGTTGGTTAAGCGTCCAACTTCAGCTCAGGTCATGATCTCACAGTTCGTGGGTTCAAGCCCTGTGTCGGGCTCTGTGCTGACAGCCAGCTCGGAACCTGGAGCCTGTTTCAGATTCTGTATCTCCCTCTCTCTGACCCTCCCCTGCTCATGCTGTCTCTCTCTCTCAGAAATAAACAAAACATTAAAAAATTTAAAAAATACTGCTTTTAAAACTTCTCAGGGGCTTAAAGGCTGTTTTGAGGCACTGCCTGAACTCTACACTGGAGAAGAATCGAGGTGATTTCTGACCATGGCAGGGTTCAGAGCAAGTTGCAAGGTAATTGAAGCCCAAATACTCAGGAAGAAACTTTGACCTTCCCCCTAACTGTCTGAAAGAATGTAGATGGAGAGCCGAGTTGAAGGAGATTGCTACATTAGAGAACTACCTGATCATATGAACCAGAGCATAGACAGAAAGGGATTTGGCAAGTCTGTTAAAATTCCTCCTCATGTCCCATTGTTTCTAAGGGGCCTAGCAAACGTGTTTACCAAACATTTACTTTTCTTCACCTTCCTGTGAGTTGCTTCCTTCCCTTTGAAGTCCCAGACCCCTTCCCCTACTCTTTTTAGTGCCAGATGACATATAGACCTCGTTTTGCCTGACTGTGGAATCTATGTGTGTATTGATTGCCCATATGCACAAGTCTAAATCAGATTTCCCCCTGTTAATCCATCTCATGTTAATTTCATTCTTAGACCAGCTAGAAGAATCTTAAAGGACAGAGAAAAAATTTTCCTCCCCAGCACCATCTTTAAAGGAATGGTGGTGTTTGTTCATCCCCTTGCCATTGAGGAAAATTGTCCTTTGGCAAGTGTGATGAGGCCGGGAGAAAAGACTGGACAGCTGTCAAGCCACAGTGCTGGGAATGCTGCCCTCCCCTCCCCCACCATGTCTCCATTGGTGTCCATTGCTGACCAGGCAGGTCCAAACACTCAGGACTGCTTCAGACACGGGCCGTCAAATATCTCATCTGCACTTTCCTCTTCCCTGGCTGTTGAGCCCCCACGGCTCACACTATGTTGCTTCTTCCAGAAAGAACATCTCTTTCTGCACCAAAGCTGTGCGATCACATGCCAGCTTTCTGGAGCTGACAGCTAACTGGGTTTGGAGAGGATGAGGGGAACAGCATCTTCAAATGTGACACAGCTAGCTAGAGAACTGTCAACTCACAGGGAACGGTAACCAGCTTGCCGAAGAGGAAACCAAGCCAAAATAAGCCGACTATTGGCGATGGCTTTCCTTTGCGACGCAGACTTAATGAAGATTGGCTACTAGACTTCAGACATTGTCATATCCATCACCTCTCTCCACCCTCGCGGTCACCTTGTTAAGTGGGTATCAGGATTTGTATTTCATAGTTGAGGATATTTTGGCTCAGAAAAGCGGAGGTACTTGCTTGGATGAAACAGCTGGACTCTGCAGCTGCCTCTCAGCAATTCGGAGGTCTCTGTCAGTCTGCGGACAAATGTTTTCTAAAAACAAGATAGGCTGGGTTTAACATGCACACCTGTGTACACCAAATGATAGACCTGCATCATTTCCTTGACACATGGTGGGTGAGTGGCCTGTGGCTTCCTCTGTGGGACACTCTTCAGTGAGGGGCCACAACAGCAGAGATGCCCCTCAACGATGAGCCCACTCCCCAGCTGGTCCTCCAAGGCCTCTCGAGGAGCAGCAAACAGGTGATGGTGGCACAGGTGGACTAGAAAGTGAGCCCCTGTCTCCTCATCCATGAGTCCCCTTTCTGAAGAAAGTCTTGGTCAGTTGGCCCAAGCTTGGGAAGCTTGTTGAGAACATCAGAACCCTGGACTTAGAGATCCTGACTAGTGTAATCGCAGATGGGGTGGGGGATTTGCATTTGATTTATGGACTCCAGGCAATTTGGACACGGGTTCGAGAAATCACCCTGAGACAGTCTGGGCCCTGGAATGGGAAATCAGCTGCGGCAGGGCAGGAAAACATCTAGAAGCTTTTCCACTGAGGCCACAAGGCCAAATATCATACTCAAGCAAATCTTAAAAGAGGCCTTGAGTGTGAACAGATTCAGGCTCTGCCTGGAACTGGAGAAAATAAAGATGAACTGTTATATGATGAAAGCTCCTAAGTGGATGGACAGCTCCAATTAGCTTGCTTGTTGTCCAGATCTGCTCACTTGGGGTCTTTGGTGACCAGTGCTGTATGTCACATGCAGAGATTTTCAGGGGCAAATTGCACTTTGAGGTTAGTCAATGTCTATTATGGAAATGAAACAAAGCAGAACAAAATGTCATCATGTTACATACATCTAGACTCAAGATCTTTCTATGGTGTTCTAACGGGCTGCATTTGTATTACAGGATGGCACTCATTTCAAGCCTGCCAAAAACATGCTCATTTCCATTTCTGAAAAAATTTTAGATGCCAAATGACAGTATTTTTTTAAAGCCCTGCTCTTGTGACAGAACCTATTTCTTTTTTTTTTTTTTTAAGTTTATTTTATTTATTTTAAGAGAGAGAGGAGAGAAAGAGATGGGGAAGGGCAGAGAGAGAAGAGAGAGAATCCCAAGCAGGCTCCACGCTGTTAGTGCAGAGCCTGACTTGGGGCTTGAACTCACAATCTGTGAGTCAAAAAATTTTTTTAAAGAAGTAAAACATCTAGTTTGTTAGATAGTAATAATTACTAAGGAGTAAAAATAAAACAAGGGAGCAGATATGCACTGTGGAAGTTGGGGAGAAGGCTTGACATTTTACAGTGTGGCCAGGGAGGCCACCTGGGATTTTACCAAGGGACTGAGGTGACATTTATATAAATATCTAAAGGGAGTAAGGGTGAGAACAGAGGGATTCTTGGTGGAAGAACATTCTAGTTGGAGAGAACAGCAAACACAAAAGCTGTGAGGCCAGAATGCTGAAGAATGAACAAGGGTTTTGTGTGAAGGGAGCTGGATGATTGAGGGAATAGTTATTAGAAGCTGATGTTTAAGAAGTGGTGGTGCCATGGGGCACCCGGGTGGCTCAGTCGGTTGCGCATCCATTCTTGTGGTTCATGAGTTCAAGCCCTGCATCGGGCTCTGTGCTGACAGCTCGGAGCCTGGAGCCTGCTTTGGATTCTGTGTCTCCCTCGCTGCCCCTCCCCTGCTCACATGGGTCTCTTTCTCTCTCTCTTTCTCACTCTGAATGAGATGGAGCCCTGGGGAGGATTCTGAGCAAGGGAGTGCCTTATATATGAACAGAATCACTGTGGTCACTGTCTTGAGGTGAGGGAGTGGAAGGCAGGAAGTGACAGCATCGTCGAGGTGAGGGACTTAGTGAAAGCAGTGGAGGTAGGAAGATGGGGGATCCTGGATACCAAGAAGAGGCATTAAGATGACTGGTGGTCCCAGGGTGCCTGGCTGGTTCAGTCAGTAGAGCTTATGACTCTTGATCTCAAGGATGCAAGTTCGAGCCCCAAGTTGAGAGTGAAGCTTACTGGAAAAAACAAATAGGGTTGCTGGTGGACCATGGAACATGCGTGTAAGAGAGACAGTTAGGGAGGACTCTAGAGGTTTTGGTCTGAGCAACCAGAGGGTTGGAATCGTTATCAACAGAGTCGGGGTAAACTGTTTCCTCCAGCCTTTCCCTCCACTGGAGGGGCACATTTGGAGGGGGAACAGCAGAAGGGCAGCTTTGGATGTTTTGAACTTGAGATGCCCATCAGATGTCAGGTGGAGATGGCCATGCAAGTTGGAGCTCAGGGGAGAGATCCAGCTTGGGAGAAGGTAGATAGTATTCAACGTTCCAGCGAACTGGGGACTCTGGCAAATAACCAGGGGATAGCTGGGGATAAATAACCAAAATATTTAAACAACTCAATGCCCATTTTTCTTTCCTGTACATTTGTTTATTAAAAAAAAGTGTAGGAAATGAGTAAAACGGTACCTAAAAAGTATGTACAACAAAATAAATTATTCCCAGTCAAGCATTACAGATCCACACAAACCTGTTCTCTAACCTTGACCAAGGTTACATCCCGCGGACACATGCGTTCCCCCCTTGATCCTTCCTGGGACTTTCCCCTCCTGCGCAGAATGATCCCCATGCTAGAGCCAGGCCTGGATGTGCTGGGCTTCCTCACGAGCCCAGCAGATGGGCGTGGAGGCGGCCCCGACAGGAAGGGCACTGTGCCAGAGCACATAAGGCATCAGCAAATGTGTCCGACTGGTTTCCAGTGACCCTGAAGAATTTTACATAAGTAGGGGGTCTGGGCTTTCAAGCAAAGAGCCAGGGGTACGTTGTGCTGACACCATGGAGGAGGCAAAGCTTCAGAAAACATTAAATTCCCCTGAGGCTTCAGGAAGATGGCACTTGGGCCCGGGGTTTTAAGAGAACCCAGTTAAGAGAACATGGCCACACAGGGTTTTTGTAAATAAAGGTGGCCGGCCACGCTTTGTGGCTACAGGAAGCAGAGCATGGAAGGAGGGTGTTTCCGCAGAGCCCAGGAGGTCGGGGAGGCCAGAGGGTGGAGGAGGGGCTCCAACAGGGACTTTAAGTGACCATCCAATTTCGGGTGTGAGCAGGAAGCCCTCCTCTGGCCCTTCATGGGGGAGGCTGCCTGAATCTCAGGCCAAAGGGCCGAGGGTGACTGGGCCGGGGCCCGCCTTTCAGAAGGGAAAGGTGCAAGGGGCAGAACCGAGGTCGTAACTAAAACAAACCCTTCCTTCTGGAAAGAGTCCAGGAGGCCTCGGAAGACACAGCAGTTCGGAGGTTGCACTCCGAACTCCTCATGACGGCAAAGGGGCACACGGACGAGTCGAGGCGGGTGTTTCCCAGAATTCACGGAACACGACGAAGCCCGTTCACCTTTAAAGGAGGTTTCGCTACAGAAACACCAACCTTTGGACGGTGCCGACACCCATCCCTGTCCTCCCCGAGGCGAGCAGGGGCCACAGAGGCCAACAGCCACAGGAGCTGGGCTTGTCATGAGTATAAACGAGGGACCCGGGGCCATGGGTAGGAAAAACCTTTCCTGAAACCCACACCAGCCTCGAGGCCTGTCTTCTCATTCGAGGAGAGATCTAGGGCCCAACTTTCATTTCATTATAAGCAAAGCAGCCCTGCGGGGGGCACTCATCAGTAGCTACAAGACTCAGCATCAGTGAGGGAGGCGAGAAGGAATGGGGGGGGGCTGGGGTGAACAGGAGACCAGGCGCCCCCCCAAAAGTGAGCCGCTTCCCAGCTCCAGCCGGCGGCTCCTGGGTGACAGCGTAAGCCCCCCAGCCCAGCCGGATGTCCTGACCTGGATATTTATGCAAAAATTTTATAATTTTAAATGTTAGTAGCTGATGCTTAAAAAAAAAAAAAAAAAAAAAAAAGATTCCTAGGCCCAAAAAACCCACACTGGTGGGCTGGGTCATTTCATAGTCCCCCACAGGCAGGAGGGGGCGATAGGCAGAAGAATGACTCCCCAAAAGGTCCTAATCCCCCGGAACCTGTGGATATGGTACCTTACACGGCAAAAGGGACTTTGCATCTTGCCCTTCTCATCTCCAGAACCGTAAACTACGAGATTTGGGTTGTTTTAAGCCACCATGTTTGAGGTAATTGGTTACAGTAGCAATAGGGAAGGAATGCAGTGGCCAATCTCCTGTGTGCTCTTAAACATTTTTAGAGGATGCAAATACTCTCTACATTTCGGTTTAAATGCCAACGCGTGGCTGGGGCTGGGACAGCCACACGCAGCAATTCAAGGAAATTTCTCTTGCTTCTAGGACTGCAGGACGGTGAGGCCTGAGATGTTGTGGAGGAGGATGACCGTGGGGAGAGCGAGAGAACCCAGAAGTCTCTTATCAAAGCAGGTACGTGTCAGCGCCCTCAAACACGCACACCGTTTTCCGGCCAGACAGATCGCAAATCATTCCCACCTTCGAGGGGACAGGCACATGTGTATGTAGTGGTTGGGAGAAGTCAAAACCCAGCCATCCCACCAGTGAGCGTGAGCTGTCACTGCGTCAGGGGAAAAGAGCTGCGTGGTTATACATTCGACTTCTTAAATACGCAGGACCACCCAATAAATAATAGTAATAATAAGGCACATCGTCATTTTCATCCAGGAGGGCTCCAGGGGGAGCAGGGACCTTGGATGGATGGGCTCCTAGAGATCAGAACTGTCACCCGGAAGAGTTCCAAATCCAGATCCAGAGCTCACTGCAACGGTGTATGGGGTGACTCAGAGCCCCCTCCCCTCAATTACAGGCTGGTTTATGACCCAATCTGGCTTCCGAAGGACATGGACTGTGATGACTGTATCCAGATTGGAATTCATCACTTTCAATGTCCCACTGTTGGAACAAGCCCACTTGGAAATCACAGGTTGGTGGTGCCCAGGAAAACCTCTTGCTGTTCCTTCCATATAAATTCCTCTTTCGGATTTCTGCTGGAGACCCCTAAAGGGTGTCTCAGCACCCCGCTTTAAGCAGAAGTCTTTGGGATGGGTCCAAGTTACTCCTCAGGCTCTGAGGGCTTATGGGTGTCCAGCAAGGGAAGGTCTGTATTCCCGCTGTTGGGGTGGGAGAAGGTATATGGTTCACTCTCAGACTCAGCAGGGAACCTGGGGGCCAGCTGATCTGTGGTCAGCTTTGCAGTCGGGGCCCTGGAGCCGGTGAGGGGTGGGGAGGGAGGGCAGTCCCCCGTGGGGCCTTGGAAAGGCCGGTAGGTGTCCACCTCCGGCTGCAGGAAGGAGCCGTTGGAATCCTGCAACAGGTGGCCGTACACCATGGTGTCATCAATGACCGCGTACACGTGGGAGTCGCTGTCTTTTCGTCCTTTCTGACACTTTTTTGGCTGCATCGGCATCTGGGTGTTGACGTTGCCGTTGTAGACGCCTACAGCTGGCCCTTTGCTCATCTTCTTCTTCCTACTAAGAGAAAGGGAACGAGAGGGTCAGGAAGAAATCGATCTTGGCTGTGTTCCATCTGCAGAGCCCTACTAGAACTCAGGCCCTCTGCGGTTCTCACACGTCTCCCCCAGTCTCTCAAATCCCTTAGCCCTTGAAACGGAAGCTCCTGTTCTTAGAATTTAGAAGGGACCAGCTTCTGGGGCGCCCGGGTGGCTCAGTTGGTGAACCGTCCGACTCTTTGATATCAGCTCAGGTCATGATCTCACAGTCTGTGAGATGGAGCCCTGATTCGGGCTCTGAGCTGACAGTGTGGAGCCTGCTTGGGATTCTGTCTCCCTCTCTCTCTGCCCCTCCCCTGCTCACATGCCCTCTTACTCTCAAAATAAATAAATAAACATAAAAAAAAAAAAAGAGGGACCAGCTTCTGTCTCCAGTCTTCACAGTGGAAACAGAGTGGTGGTGCACGTTTAATACTGTCTGTGCTTGGATGTGCTTTGGCGGATGTGTGGTGCCCAGGGGTAGGAACATCTGACAACCAGCCCCTCTCTGTCCTACGAGAAAGGGAAGTGCCCCAGCAGGACCACATCAGGGGCTGCCATGCCCGGGCCAACCCTCTACGACTCAGTCTTTCCCGTAGCTTAAGGCTTCACCCCTGTTTGCATGGGTAAAACCCTGACTGTCTCCATTCTCAATGATATGACATAGCAGACTCAGGATGGATGGCTGTATCCTAGCTGTTGGCTAGAGCTGGCGACAGTGGAACCAGTATTAGCAGGGGGATCCAGTCCCTTCAGCAGGAACCTGCATAAGGGGAAAGAGCTCAGAAGACGACAACATTCAGGCCGGGACGCCAGAGTTCCTCAGTAACACCATTAACCTTTGGTTTGTAATGTTCTTTGGTCCTTGGGCGTGGACGGGCATTAGCTCTCTCCGCCACGGAAAACAAAGCCTCGCCCTCCATCTCCATGAGCCAAAAGCAGGGGACGCTGGCTTTTTAGCCTCGCAGTGATTCGAATGGAGGACATTAGCTCAATTAACATAATGGACCATATAACGCACAGGCTGGCGGCTCACTAATTGTGGACAGGCTCTCTGTCCTTTGCTGAGATAAAAATACTCTAGTACATTTAGCTTGTAACACTGCGTGTCTGGCTGGGATGATGGGTTCCAAAGGCTCCAGCATCAAGCCCGGAGCCGGACACCCCTCCTTCGTGCTCCGCAGAGCCTTGGTGCTCTCCCCTACTGCTCTTTTTAGGCCGTTCTGAAGCTGGTCCTTCATTTAGTCCTTCTGTCCCCCACACCGGGCGGAGGGAGGAGAGGCTGTTCTGCTCATCGTTGCATCCCCAGCACCGGGCATGGTTCCTAGTGTCCGGGAGGCTCCCAGAAACATGCTTACTGAATAAGTTCTTTCATTCTTACTACAGAACCTACCTGCCCTCCTACAGCTAGTGGCCCTCCCCCTCCCGCCCCCCCCCCCCCAAACGCAAGGCCAGTGCTCGTGATTCTCAGGCCAGAACTGGGGCAGTTCAGAGATGGAGGTAAGAGTTGGATGCTCCCCTCACCCGGCTTCCTCCCGAATAGGGGCCCAGTGTTAACACCGAGATTTCAGATCTGGGTAGAAGAGCCCGCACCCCAGACAAGGAAGTTTCCTAGAAAAACCATAAAACGATAATTCATAAAAAGAAGTCCTTTCCCCCCGCCCTGTGCGATATATGTACAACCTCATCTCATGGAAAAGAGGCGTTTCCCTGGATCTGCCGTGGGCAGCCCATTCCTCATCAGCGCAGACATTTCTAGAACGTCTCACTATTAGTCAGGAATCTGGGCTGTGTGGTCACAGCTCCGGTGAATAAAAAAATTCCTTTTGTCTTGTTGGAAGACTGAATCGTGCTAAGGAAAGCATCCCTCCTCCCTCCCCCTCCCCCCCCCCCTTCATGGCTTTAATCAGAAATACAAGCAGAACTGATCAAATCTGGTAGCAGCGCATATTAGGTCTAAAAAGGTCAACGCTTTCCTTTCATAAAACAGCAGCCGCCCCCCTGAGGGGGCGGGAGGTGAGACTGAGTCAGATAACTGGGTCTTCCTTCCTCTCGCCCACAGGGCTAGCTTTTTGGTGCCTGTCTGGAGTCCAATACACAAGCATAAAATAGTTTAAGAAACTGGAGGACACACCGGGGGACAGCATGCATCTACTCTCAAGGGGACAGAGGACACAGGCCCAGAGGCCCGGTGTGGCAGGCCCGACGTGATCGTTTTCCTGTTAAGGTCACCCCTGTGATGAGTGCCGTCTGATGAGCAGACAGTAGGTGATTCACAGCTGACGTGTGCTGACACATGGTGTGAAAACTGCAGGCCAAAATGTCACCAGCCATGTTTTCTGTTATTTTTTCTTCCCCCTCCCCTCTAAGCAATATTATCTAACACTGATCCTCCGGGGAGGAACCGGAAGCAAAAGAAGTCCATAGTTCACGACAGCTCTGGTCTGTGTGACCTAAGGAGGCATCAGGGCAGCTGAAGATGGTTTTGAGAAATTCCACCTACTTCTTTCGCACAAGGCAAACGATGAGTCCGAGGGTTACCAGCAGTAAGGCGCCACCTCCCACGATCACGGAGACGATGACAGTCAGGTCTGTGAGCAGAGACACGAGGGAGAAGGGTGAGGAGTTGGGGCATCGGGCCGATGATAAACTGGAGGAGACAGTCTCCAGAGATGGCCGCCATCCCTTCCTTCCCCTCCCGGTACACACACGCTGCTCCTCATAGTAAGAGGGGCCCACTTCCCTCCTTCTCGACTCTTCCTGACTTGCCGGTTCTGGGGCCTTCTAGAGGCCTGGCAACGTCTTGCGCTTTCTGTCTGAGGGCAAGCCAGTAAGACACATGGAAGAAGTCTGACTACACTGAGGCCACCATGCTGTGAGGAAGCCCAAGCCAGCCGTGTGGAGGCTCCATGAGGAACACACCCCGAGGAACCCGGCAGAAGGGGAGTATACCAAGGCTCCAGACATCTGTCCCCAGGTGAACCATCCCAGCCAAGAGCAGAGAAGAGCCACCCTGCTGTGTCCTGTACAAATTCCTGACCCACAGACTTGTGAGCAAACAGAATGGTGTTCTGTCTAAGCTACTAAATCTTGGGGCTGTTTGTTACGCAGTGATAGAACTAAAACAAACTGGGGGCCCTACCAGATCCACTCCAAAGGCTACTCTGGGCCTACCCCTGGGTGTGTCCACCCGGTCCCCACAGCCTATGTGGGAGAAGAGAGCAGAGGGGTGGAGTGAAAGCAGGGAGTCTAAAGTCAGCAGTGAAGGTGTTCAGGACAGGGTTGTTTCATCTATGCTGTTCTTTTCTTACAGTTGTAGAAGAAAGGAAATAAATCAGACAGGGAGCCCCACACCGAGCAGGGATTTAGAATTTCGTGCTTGTTCACCAAGAAAACAAAAGGTGAGGTTAAGAGAGAAACAAAAATAAATGGGGCGTCTGGTGGGCTGTCAGAGGAGCATGCAGCTCTGGATCTTGGGGTTGTGAGTTCGAGCCCCCCCCAGTGGATGTAGAGATGGCTTAAGTAAATAAAGTTAAAGAAAAAGTAGTAGAAATAAATGACAGAAAATGAATGTGAGAGTCAGCAGACCCAGGAACTAAGCTGAGAGTATGCGAGAGCTTCTCACTTGTGGTTTTTTGTTCCCCATTGTTCTCTTGCTGCTACCCAGCGGTGTGGTCTTGGGCAGACACACAGTCTCTCTGACCACCAGAGAGGGAAGGGGCCGGGAGAAACCACCTCCACGCTCCCTTCTGGTTCCAACACTCTGCGGTGCTCTGTGACTGTCTTGGAATAAAGGCAAATGTGGCCCTATCACAGGGGATCTGCCGCACATGCGCTTCCTTGCTGGAAACTCTTTGGTGGATTCTGCGATTCTGAGCCTAAGGCCAGCCCCCGAGGGCGTTTTCCAAGGCTTCACCGGACTTGGTAAGAAACGCCAGCACCAAATATCTATGTCACACTTTCCAGGTCCCCACATGTGAACCCTCAATGCTGACTTCCTCCTGATACTTCTATGAGGTAGTTATTACTATCCACCCTCTAAAGACAAGGAAGGTTAGAAAGTGAAGAAACTTTTTTCTCCTGGGCCAGAGAGAGATTAATGGTATATGATCGTGGCAGACGGACAATAAAAACCCACTAGTTCTCCCCCTCCCTGAACCATGTCTTTTACCATGTGACTCTTGCAGCTCCTCCCACCAAGAAGTGGAGTTGATTTGTCCACCCCTTGACTTCAGGCAGGACAAAAGAATTCCAGGGGAGGTGGTGTGTGAGTTCCTAACACAAGCATCAAGAGACCTTGCAGGCTCCCCCCAGATTCTCTTGGGTCTCTCTGCTTCAGTGAGAACAAGGCCCGGGGTGGAGTGTAAGGGACTGTGGGGAGGAGAGCCAAGGAACCGAATTATTGCTGCTAACTGCAGCTGGGCGCCAGACCTGTGAGAGTGCATGGCCGAGATCAGCAAAGTCCTCTAGCTCTGTGCAGCTGCCCATGGGTGCATGAGCGAGTGACCCGGATAAGCCCAGTTCAGACCAGAATCACCCAGCCAACATGTGAGCAATAACAAATGGCTGTTTTTAAGCCACGGAGTTCCGGGGTTGTTTGTTTTGTGGCATTGCTGATGCAAAAGCCGACTGATACATGGAAAGCCCACACTCAAATCCACGTCTTTGGAGTCCCTCCCAGGCTTGAACCCTAGCCTTTGGCCGCCCATCTGCTATCTACCACCACCCGCATGAGAGCTGGCGGGCCCTTACCTATAGTCCTGGGGGTAAGTAACACCCAGAAGAATAGGTCCAGCTGCTTGCCACTCACAGGGCTGCAGTTGGAGATGTTAACCCAGAAGCTGTGGTGGTGGAAGCTGGGCTTGGGGAGCACCTCGTCCTCCAGGCTGAAGATCTCCTCGGCCTTAGTCCGCTGCTCCTGGATGATCATAAACGCACGCCCCGTCTGGCAGACGACGCCGGTCCGCTCCTTGAGGAAGGTCAGGCAGGCCACCTGGCCAGTGGGCACAGTGATGTTCCAGGACACGGAGGTGAGGGATGGCAGGCCCCGGTCCCAGTTAGGGCTCCTCAGGTAGACCTTGCTTTTTGTGTCTGGGGTCACTGTGAAGACGCCTTCCTCTGCAGGAAAGGGGAGAGAATCCACACAGATGTCTCACTGAGCCAAAATGGAGGGAAAACGGCGGAGGAGACGATGTTCAAGCGTCTGCACTAGTGTCGTTCAATAGAGCTCTCTGTGATGACATTAAAGTTTCTCTTTTAAAAAAAATTTTTTTTTTAATGTTTATTTATTTTTGAGAAAAAGAGACACAAAGTGTGAGCAGGGGAGGGTCAGAGAGAGAGGGAAACACAGAATCCGAAGCAGCCTCTAGGTTCTGAGCTAGCTGTCAGCACAGAGCCCGATGTGGGGCTCGAACCCACAAACCGTGAGATCATGACCTGAGCTGATGTCGGACACCCAACCGACTAAGCCACCCAGGCTCCCCGACATTAAAGTTTCTCACAGGCTCACCTCATTTTGCTATGCTTTGCGGCTCCTGTGCTTTTTACAGGCTGAGGGTTTGTGGCAATCCTGCACCGAGCAAGTCTGTGGTGCCATTTTCCCAACAGCATTTGGTCACTTTGTGTCTCTGTGTCAGGTTTTGGTGATTCTCACAACATTTCAAACGTTTTCATTATTATGTTTGTTATGGTGATCTGTGATCAGTGATTACAACTTACTGGAAGCTTGGATGATGGTTAGCATTTTTTAGCAATAAAGATTTTTCCTTTTTTTTTTGCTTACAAAAATTTTATTTTTATTTATTTTTATTATATTCATTTTTGAGAGTGAGACAGAGCATGAATGAGGGAGGGGCAGAGAGAGAGGGGGACACAGAATCAGAAGCAGGCTCCAGGCCCTGGGCTGTCAGCACAGAGCCTGACGCGGAGCTTGAACTCACGAACTGTGAGATAATGACCTGAGCTGAAGTCAGCTGCTTAGCTGACTGAGCCACCCAGGTGCCCCATGTTTTTATTTATTTTTTTATTTTTATGTATTTTTTAAATGTATTTTTTTTTTAAATGTTTTATTTATTTCTAGGAGAGAGAGACAGCGTGAGCAGGGGAGGGTCAGAGAGAGGGAGTTATAGACTCTGAAACAGGATCCAGGCTCTGAGCTGGCAGTCAGCACAGAGCCCGACGTGGGGCCCGAACCCACGAACTGCGAGATCATGACCTAAGCGGAAGTCGGACGCTCAACTTACTAAGCCACCCAGGTGCCCCTAAATGTATTTTAAAAGGTTATTTATTATTGAGAGAGAAAAACAGAGCACAAGCAGGAGACGGACAGAGAGAGAGGGAGACACAGAATCCGAAGCAGGCTCCAGGCTCTGAGCTGTCAGCACAGAGCCCAATGTGGGCCTTGAACTCACAGACTGGACCTCAGCCAAAGTTGGATGCTTAACCACCTGAGCCACCCAGGCGTCCCAGGGATGAACTTAATCTTATGGCCAAAGATTCTTCTCCTTCCCCACTCAGACCTCTGGGAACAAAGTACGAAGTGAACCTCAGATAAAAGTCTTGGCTTGGTGCCTGGGTGGCTCAGCTGGTTAAGTGTCTGTCTGACTTGATCTTAGCTCAGGTCATGATCTCAAGGTTCATGGGATTGAGGCTTGCAAGTGCAGAGCCTGCTTGGGATTCTCTCCCTCTCTCTCTGCCCCTCCCCTGCCTGTACACTCTTTCTCTGTGTCTCAAAATAAGCTAAAAAAACCCCACAAAAAACAAATCCACAAAAGGATTTTCATGCGAACACCTTAAAAGTCCAGGACTCGGGAGGTTTGTTTGACTCTCATTTATGCTCTGCCTGCTTCCAAAACAGACTCGAACCTGATTATTTGTTCTCCCGCCTGTCACCCGTCACCCGTCACCCCCCACCGTCAGAGACTTATTTCTGCCTCCTGGAATTTTCCACGCTAGATTAACGGCAGACTCAGGAGGAGGGCTTCCTGTCTTTCACATTTCTAGCACGAGCACTAGTCCACACAACTATCCCTTCTCTTCAAGTTGACAACTTAATCAAGACGATCGCACACCCAACAGGGGACGGATGCCCACACGAGAAAGGGGCAGGGAGACGGGGAGACAGAGGGAGACATCCTTACCTTTGAAGTACGGGATAAAGGACACGGTCAGGCCCTGCCTGGAGGCCTCTTGCTGGAAGCCGGGGGCGAAGGTGCGGAGGGTCACGGAGACGTTCTGCTTCACCTGGATCTGCCGGATGGAGCCTCCAGGGCAGAAGGAGCCGAAGTACAGGTCCTGGCCGGGGACCGTGCTGGCCACCAGGTAGCTGAAGCTGGTGTTGCAGACCTTCTCGGGCGTGTGCTGCTGCAGCTTCTGGGTGGGCACCAGGGCCAGGCTCAGCCTGTCCTTGGGCACCAGCAGCTTCCAGGAGAAGTCGTGCAGCTGCACAGGCAGCTGGAGGATGTCCCCGGGCACCTGGAGGGAGTAGGACCTTTTGTGGCAGTACCGCTGGTCCGCGCAGCCTGGAAGAGAAGGGCTCGTGGCACCAGGCAGGGAGGAGACCGGCAGGTGCATCCTGCCCAGCCCTCCAGACCACCCCGGGCTCTCTGGCTCCCCCCGCCCCCTGCGTGGGCAGGTAGTTTTATGCAGTGGTCAGAGCAGGGCTGGAGTTGGGGAGATATCAGCCTGCGTCCCAGCTCGGCCACCTCCTGGCGGGCAGGCTGTTTTGCGTCGTGTGGCCTCAGCTGCTTCATCTGCGGAAAGTCTAAGAGCATCCACGTCGGGGGTCATGGTGGCCCAGCAGAAGGCAGGGGGACTATACATTTTGCTGCCCTCCAATCATCAAACATTTATTAGGTGACTAATAATGTCCAGCACCACTGGGGGCTAAAGGGACAAAAAAGTGGAAGAAGCCACAGTTCTTGACCTTGAGATGCTCAGTCTCATGCAAGAGGTGATAGGTGTTTGGTGAGCGTGGGGGCAGGGGGCACGTGGATGGGAGAGGCTGGGGAAGGCTCCACAGAGGAGAGATCTCATGATTCTGGACGGCTGGGCAGAGGGGACCAGCATGGACGTGGGAATGCAGCGTACTTCTGAAGGACACCATTGCACCTGAGGCTCTGGTCCTAGAGGGGCCCATCTCCACCTCCCTGTTTGCGTCTTGGGCGCCCTTGCCTACCCTGCACGGCGGGGGACATTTCTGATCAGACTATTTATAACCTACTCAGTGGACCCCATGGAGAAGATGGGGATGGGCGGGGAGAGCCGCCTACGGCCCCAGAAGAGTGCGGCAAGGGGACGTACTTATGGTCTTCTCCGCGTTTATCCACAGGCGCGTCAGGTTATCACAAAGGAAGGAGATCTTGTGTTTGGAGCCGGACGTCAGGGTGAGGTTGGTGCTGCAGGTTCGGGACTCCAGACACACGAAGCAGCCGGGGACAAACTTGCGGCTGAGCCTGATGGGCCGCGGCTCGATGGTGAGTGACATGGCTTGCTCGTTACTCAAGTCGACCACATAGATTTTATCTGAAACCACAAAGAGAAAACAGGCCTGAGGCGTGGATCAGTGGCCACTGGTGGACGGGCAAAAATGAGCACTATACCTCTCCTGGCTGGAAACAGCCTGGGTGGCTCAGTCGGTTAAGCGACTGGCTTCAGCTCAAGTCAGCATCTTATGGTTCGTGAGTTTGAGCCCCGCATCAGGCTCTGTGCTGGTGGCATGGAGCCTGCTTGGGATTTTCTCTCCCTGTCTCTCTCTGCCCCTTCTCCATTTGTGCTATCTCTCTAAATAAATAAATAAACTTAAACAATTAAAAAAAAGAAGAGAGAACGTATAAGAATTCTAGGAGACATTGAAAAAGAAAAATAATGGACTGAGTTACTACCACTGCTTAACTGCTTTTACTCCTTCAAATTCATCTTAGTTCTTGTTCATACACATGCACATGAACATTTTCACCTATGTAAAAGTATAGTACACATACAATTTTATACTCAGCTTTATTACTTTACACGGCTTTAATTATTTTTCCAAGTAGTTTTCATATTTACACATCTTTGAAAATCATTTATTTAGTGGCTGATAATTAACAAGTGAGACTCACCATAATTTACTTAAATACCTTCCTGCATAAATATTTTTAAGTTTATTTATTTATTTTGAAAGAGAGAGGAGGGAGAAGGGCAGAGAGAGAGAGGGAGAGAATCCCAAGCAGGCTCCATACTGTCAGTGCAGACCCCGACGCAGGGCTCGAACTCACGAGCTGTGAGATCATGACCTGAGCGGAAACCAAGAGTTGGACATTTAACCGACTGAGCCGCCCAGGCGCCCCTCCTGTATAAATATTCTCGTGTGTAGTAATTAGTAGCAGTATGCCATTAATGCAGGGAAAGAAGATTCATAGATATTATATTTCTTCCTAGATATTATTCATAGATATTATACCCATTGATATTATAATTTAGTCTCTAATAAATGCTATATTTCAAACAAGTGAGAAAAAGACGAACTACTCCTGGTTGGGCCAGGAGAAGAGTCTCTCCCATTAGTAAAAGAATCCAAATTAGACTGGTATTTCAAAGCAAAGAGAAATTCCTTAAAGATGTGAGTGAACACAAATTATAAATGAAAAAAAAAAAGTTTAGGGGCGCCTGGCTGGCTCAGTCAGGTAAGCGCCCAATTTCAGCTCAGATTATGATCTCATGGCTCATGAGCCTGAGCCCCGCATCGGGCTCTGAGCTGCCTGCTTGGGAGTCTCTCTCTCTCTGCTCCTCCTCCCGGCTCCCCCTACCCACACTCTTTCTCTCTCTCAAAATAAATAAACTTAAAAAAAAGTCAGCACATCAATCTTTATTCAAGCCCCGTGTTCAGCTTAGCACTTCTCTAATTTAATGCAAATAAGATCTTTGGTTCAAAAACTTCCCTTTACCAAGGAAGAAATGCCTATCTTCTGCTGGTTGGGGGAGGAGTGTCCCACGGCTGCTTGGTAGATCTGGGGCTGGAGCGGCTTCTCCCACTTTTAGCTCCAGTTCTGGAGGTGACTTGCTGCCAATTCCTGGGCCTTTGAACATTTCTTCTTGGAGTTTCCCACTGTGGGGTTAGATTCTGCACTTTCGGGTCTGCTGAATCAGTTACCCGTCTATGTCCCACTTTAGGAAATGTTAGACTATTGTTTCCTTTCCATTTATCATTTCCCTTGGAATTTATGCTTTTAGAAATGCTTTAAAAGCCATTCCAGTGTGGGTGAAGGAGGAAGCAAATCTCTCTTTGATGGGAAGTCCTCATTTTCCAATTGCTTGTCTGTTCTTCCCGCCAGAAAGGGAACTTCCTGGATCTCCATGACCTGCGTATCTGGCTCATGGTAGAGACTCCATTGTGTGTTAGGTTGTTAAGCCTCATGATATCCTTGAGAGGGAGTGTATCAGTCAGCTCAGGCTAAATTAGGCTGCAGTAATGAATGGTCCCCAAATCCAAAGCGTTAGAATAACAAAGATTTATTCTGCATTCAGCTTATACATCCATTGAGAGTTGGCTACAGCTCTGGTGCCTGTCTATTTTTTTTAAGTTTCTTTATTGAGAGAGAGAGCGAGCACAGGCAGGGGAGGGGCAGAGAGAGAAGGTGAGAGAGAATCCCAAGCAGGCTCTGTGCTGCCAGCTCAGAGCCCTGTTGGGGATCAAACCATAGAAATCTTGATTTGAGCCAAAAACAAGTGTCAGACGCTTAAGCAATTGACCCACCCAGGCACCCCTCTGGTGCGTATCTTTTTAAAAATTTTTTTAAATGTTTTTTATTTTATATTTGAGAGAGACAGACACAGAGAGCAAGCACGGAAGGAGCAGAGAGAGATGGAGACAAAATCGGAAAAAGGCTCTAGGCTCTGAGATGTGAGCATAGAGCCTGATGCAGGGCTCAAGCCCATGAACCGGGAGCCATCCAGGTGCCCCTATTTTCTCCATTTTATAAACTACAAATTTGAAGCTTAGAAAGGTTAAGTAATTTTCAGGGAGGCCTGGGTGGCTCAGTCAGTTAAGAGTCCTCTTGGTTTCAGCTCAGGTCATGATCTCATGGTTCAAGCCCCAGGTCAGGCTCTGCACTGACAGCACAGAGCCTGCTTGGGATTCTGTCTCCAGCTCTCTCTCTGCCCCTCCTCTACTCACACTGTGTCTGTCTGTCTCTCCCTCAAAGTAAATAAATAAACTTAAAAAAAAAAAAAAAAAGATTAAGTAATTTTTGTCCAAAGTCACACAGCTTGCTAGTAAGTGCCCAAAGCAGTCTGACTCCCAAACCTGCTAATCACTAGCTACAGTCTCCCTTTGCTTTTTTGACATATAATTTACATATAATAAAATGCACAGATCTTAAGTGTTCAGTTTGATGAATTTTGACAATTTTATATATCCATTGTATCTATCACCCAAAGCAAGATCTAGAACATTCCTATTATCCCAGAAAGGTCTTCTGTGCCCCCTTCTAGTCAATTCTGCTTGACTCCCAGTCATGCCCCTCGAAGGCCACCGCTTCCTAGTTTCTATCCCTGTAGACATCACACGTTCTGGAACTTCATATAAATGGAATCATACAGTATATACTCTCCTGTCTGGTTTTTCCCCCTCAGAAAAATGTATTTAAGGCTCATCCATGTAGTTTTGTATATCAGTCACTTTTTCCTTCTTATTGCTGAGTGGTATTCCATAGAATGAATATACCACACTTATTTTTTCCTATATTGATGGAGATTTGGTTGTTTCCAATTATGAATAAAATGGCTGTACACATTCTTAAAAAAAATTTTTTTTTAAATGTTTTATTTATTTCCGAGAGAGAGACAGCGTGAGCAGGGGAGGATCAGAGAGAGAGGGAGACACAGAATCTGAAACGGGCTCCAGGCTCTGAGCTAGCCATCAGCACAGAGCCCGACACAGGGCTCAAACCCATGAACTGTGAGATCATGACCTGAGCCGAAGCTGGATGCTTAACTGACTGAGCCACCCAGGAACCCCTAAAAAATTTTTTTTAAGTTTATTTATTTTTGAGATAGAGACAGAGAGAGCAGGCAGGAGAGGGGCAGAGAGGGAGAGAGAGAATCCCCCAGGCAGAGCCTCATGTGGGGCTCGAACCCATGAACCGCGAGATCATGACCTGAGCTGAAACCGAGAGTCAGATGGTTAACTGACTGAGGCCCCCAGGCACCCCTGTACATATTCTTTTATAAATCTTTGAGCAGATTTACGGTTTCGTTTCTCTGGGCTAATTACCTCCGAGTGAAATTTCTGGGTCATAGGAAGGTATAAATTTGTGAGAAACTGCCAGATCGTTCTCCTAAGCGATCGCACCCTCTTACCCTTCCTGCCAGAAGCACGTGAGGCTTCGAAGGCCCCTCGTTCTCGCCGACCCTTGCTGTTGCCAGCCTCACTTATTTTAGCCATTCTGGTGGGTGTGGAAACGTCCTGTGGTTGTACAATTCCTCTTTCCTCTGAGGCTTACTGTATAATGAGACACCCAGTGGTTCGGCCAACACAGAGAGTGGATGTTGTAGAGGAGAACAATCCGGATTCTGGGCAAGTCGGACCTTGCATTGTGGGGGGCTTCAGGAGGCCCCTGGCTCCGTGCTAACACACTGCCCACATCCCGTTCTTTGGCTCTGCGTCCGCATCTCATTCCTTAGTCATCTGACCTGATTCTGTCCACATTTAGTCTGGTTGGCTCTCAAAGTAGTTGAAGGGTCAGGGCGCCTGGGTGGCTCAGCTGGTTAAGCGTTTGACTTTGGCTCGGGTCATGATGTCACGGTTCGTGAGTTTGAGCCCTGAGTAGGGCTCTATGCTGTCAGCTCGGAGCCTGCAGCCTGCTTCAGATTCTGCGTGTCTCTCTCTGCCCCTCCCCCACTCACGCTGTCTCCCTCTCTCTCTCTCTCTCTCTCAAAAATAAATAAACATTAAAAACAAAATAGGGGCACCTTGGGTGGCTCAGCTAGTTTTGGACGTCCAACTTTGACTCAGGTCATGGTCCTGCGGCTCGTGGGTTTGAGCCCCACGTCGGGCTCTGTGCTGACAGCTCAGAGCCTGGACTTGCTTCAGATTCTGTGTCTTCCTCTCTCTCTACCTCTCCCTTGCTCACACTCTGTCTCTCTCAAAAATAAACAAACATTAAACAAAATTTGTTTTTAACATTTTTTATTTATTTCTGAGAGAGAGACAGCATGAGCAGGGGAGGGTCAGAGAGAGAGGGAAACACAGAATCTAAAACAGTCTCCAGGCTCTGAGCTAGCTGTCAGCACAGAGCCCAACGTGGGGCTCAAACCCATGAAACCTGAGATCATGACCTGAGCCGAAGTCGGATGCTTAACTGAGCCACCCAGGCGCCCTACAAATTTTTTTTTAATAACTTGAGGGGTAGACACAGTAAATTTATGCGCTGCCTCAGCTGTCAGAGCAGGATGGAAGTGTGCACCCCTCCCCTCTCACAGATGGGGTGCTTGCAATGGAAATGTCGCTATTTACATTTGCAAATCTACAGAAAGAAAAGACATATTACTCTGTGTCTTCTTTGTGCTTTGACAAGTTGCTTCACTCTGCCCAGGCCTGGAGGAGGAGGGGTAGGTGTGACAGAGAGACCTCCGATTTGCTCAAGGCTACAACCTGATGGAAAGTTTCTCCACAAGAGAATCAGCAGGTGTTTCCTCTCCATAAAAAAAACACCTAAGCTGGAGGTTTGAAAAGACACCTTCACCTTAAAAAAAAAAAGACAACCTTTCACTACTTGATACTGACACCGTGGGAACCCCTGAAGGGATTAGTTCATTGACTGAAGGTTTGAAAAGGCCCCTAATCATTTTCGTGGAATCTGTAGAGATTTTTTTTAAAGTTTATCGTATTTATTTTGAGAGAAAAGTGGAGGAGGGGCAGAGAAAGAGAGAGGGAGAGAGAATCCCAAGTAGGCTCTGCACTGTTGGCACAGAGCCCGACATGGGGCTTGAACTGTGAGATCATGACCTGAGCTGAAGTTGGACGCTTAACTGACTGAACCACCCAGAGCCCTTTTTTTTTTTTTAATTTTTAAATGTTTATTTTTGAGAGAGAGAGAGGGAATATGAGCAAAGGATGGGCAGAGGGAGACAGAGAGAGAGAGACAGAGGATCTGAAACAGGTACTGCCTTGACAGCAGTGAGGTTGATGTAGGACTCAAACTCACACACCGTGAGATCATTACCTCAGCCAAAGTCGGAGGCAGCCCACTGAGCCACCGAAGGTGCCCCTGAGCATCTGACTCTTGATCTCAGTTTAGGTCTTGAGCTCAGGGTTGTGGGTTTAAGCCCTGTGCTCCATGCTGGGCATGGAGCCTACTTAAAAAAAACAAAACCAAAAAAACCCCCCAAAAAACAAAGGGCCTGGAATGTGCCAAAAACTGTGGTGGGTGTAGGAAGATAGAGGAATAAGACCAGGCTCCGGACTGGGAGGAGGTTAGCGGGACAGAGCTGTGTAGACAGATAAATACAACGTTGTGATGAATGCAAACCCCCTATATGTGGAATCTTGGGGCACACACTCTGTTCTGGGCAGCTGTTTCTTCTACTGGGGGCAAAGGGCGGTCAAGTGAAGGGCAAGGGGCCCTGGCCTGGGCTCAGGGAAGAGCAGCAGGAGGAGGCCTCAACTGAGGACCAGCCCCAGGAGGTGCTCCTCCACACTCTCTGGGGAAGGAAGGGCAGAGGCTCCTGCTGCGGGACTCAGCCTCTTGAAGCAACCCCACAGCTTCTTCCCTCTCATTTCCAAGGCCAAGAAAGAGCAGAAACAGCACACAGACTAGACTCCCTTCCCGTGGCAATGCTCTCAAACACTTGGGGCCGCCTGGGTAGGATGGAAAGTGCCAGGCTCTGCTGTGAGCCCTCCCCACCCCCGAATTCCTGCCGGCCTCGAACCCCACGGCACACAGACCACTGAGAACTCCTAGGAAGTGACCTCCTGCATCCCACAAGTCACGTCTCTGCTGGGTTACAGTCTATCTCTGAGGACAGGTGCTGGGTCTCTGATCTAGAACCCTGCAGGGTAACACTTTAAGGGCGCTTACCATCCGACAGGCACTGTATTACCTCATTTCATCCTTAAAGCACCCCCAGAGGGTGGGCCTATCCTATTTTAAGATGAGGAACTGAGTCACACAAAGGTCAGATGCTCTGCCCACAGTCCCGTGGCATGTAGGGAAGCTGGGATTCAAATCCACGCAGACAGATCCTACTTTATGGGAAGCCGGGACACCGCTCAACGGCTTTAACCTGCAGCTAGCGACTCTTTACTTACCTCGAAACTAAAGCCAAACCCTTCTTGACGCTGGGTAAAGCCTGTTTAACAATCTGATTAGTTGCAGAAATCAACGCAGCTAATGTTCTAGGAAACACAAAAAATCACCAGCACTCACCATAGCTGAGATCATAAACAAATCCCTGTCTCCTAAATTCAAACCCACACCGTTTCCAGATTCTTGTGTGGCGGTTTGTAACATTCCGATGATACAATTGTGAGAGTGGGATCATAGTAATATGTCAGTAAACACACACGCACACACACAGACACAATCAATGGACACACACACACAGCTACACCTTCTACATGGTTATTATAAGTCAGAAGCCATCTTGGGTCAGGACACATGGGGTGGGGGTGCCTGGGGGGCTCAGTCAGTTAAGTGTCCAACTCTTGGTTTTGGCTCACGATTCATGAGTTCCAGCCCCTGCATCGGGCTCTGTGATGACACTGCGGAGTCTGCTAGGGATTCTCTCTCTCCCTCTCTCTCTGCCCCTCCCCTGCTCATGCTCTCTCCCTCTCAAGATAAATAAATAAAGTTAAAAAGGATATGGTGAGGCTGTAGCTTCCAGAGACGCCCAGAGGGCAGCCCCTTGGGCGGGTTCCTCCCCACCCCCACCACCGCCGTCACTTCCCAGGTGTTTATCAGCTCTACTAAAATAAACACCTCGGTCCCACTTAATTCCACTCTGAACTCATATGGTACCTTTTTTTAAAAGTGTATTTCTTTGTTTTGAGAGAGAGTTGGGGAGGGGCAGAGAGAAAGGGAGAGAGAGAATCCCAGGTAGGCTGTACGCTGTCAGCGCAGAGCCCAGTGTGGGGCTTGAACCCACGAACTGTGAGATCATGACCTGAGCCAAAGTTGGATGCTTAACCAACTGAACTACCCAGGCGTCCTTCCTTTTTTTATTTAATAAAAATTTTTTAATGTTTATTTATTTTTGAGAGAGAAACAGACAAAGCATGAGCAGGGGAGGGGCAGAGAGAGAGGGAGACACAGAATCTGAAGCAGGCTCCAGGCTCTGAGCTGTCAGCATGGAGCCCGATGCAGGGCTTGAACCCACGAACTGTGAGATCGTGGCCTGTGCTGAAGTGAGATGTTTAACCGCTGAGCCACACACGTGCCCATCATCTTGTACCTTTTATTTCAACATCCACACCACTCTCCGCGGAGCAAAGTTTAAGGAGGCACTTGCTCCCAGGGGCTGACCTTGTACTTACATGACCTTGAGGGTGAGCACCTCTAGAAGGCAAGTAAGTGCCTCAGAGCAGCGTCTCCTTTAATGCTGCTACCCGGGCACGTGGCCTCCCCCTAGTTCTGGCCTTTTCTAGGTTGGTGGCATCTCAGTAACTGTGTGTAGAGTGATGTAACCCCCCACTTGGGGTTCAGAATGATCCAGAGCACAGACTCTGGGGTCTGGGCTTGCTCTGCTCCGGACAGGCTACGTGATGCTGGGCTAGTTCTATGAGCAACCTGGGCCTCCTGGTTTTCCAGCAGTAATTGAGGATAATTCCTGCCTCCCTTTTAGGGTTGGAATAAGGATTAGCTAAGGCTGTGTAAGTAGTTGCTGACATCAGGGCTTGGCACAGAGTGTGTGTACACAGTATGGATGGGGCGCCCAGCCACTAAGATAGGGTTCATTGTCATAGCGGATGGTGACTGTGCAGTATGCATCCTGATTCACATCGAGGGTCAAGACATGTGATACAGAAAGAAAGGAACCTCCTAACACTTTCATTAAAAACAACTTAGCCCAGGGGCGCCTTGGGTGGCTCAGTCGTTAAGCGTCCAACTTTGGTTCAGGTCATCATTAGGCTCTGTGCTGACAGCTCAGAGCCTGGAGCCTGCTCCAGATTCTGGGTCTCCCTCTCTCTCTGCCCCTCCCCCTCTCGTGCATGCACTCTCTCTCTCTCTCAAAACAACTTAGGTTGAGGCCACCTGGGAGGCTCAGTCGGTTAAGCGTCAGACTCTTGGTTTCAGCTCAGGTTATAATCTCACGGTTTGTGAGTTCGAGCTCCACATTGGACTTGGCTCTGACAGTGTAGAGCCTGGTTGGGACTCTGTCTCTCTCTGGCCCTCCCACATCCTCTCTCTCAAAATAAATAAACTTAAAAAAAACCAAACAAACGACTTGGCCTGAACGCAAGTCCGCATTTGCTTCTCAGTGTGGACGTTCACCAGTGAGCTTGTCTTACTGGCCAGCAGCACACGTCCTGAAACTCTTACAGGGTCCAGAGTTCAAGTGTTCCGGAAGCCACAGGCGAGAAACAGAAAGGGAACCTCGCGCCAAGCGCACTCCCCAGGAGGGAAAGAAAGAACTGGAGGCGGAGGGGAAAGGAAAGCGGGGCTCACTTACTGCTCTCATTTTGTGGATGTTGGACCAAAACTTGAAATTGTAGCCGGAGGATCCCTGGGTTTTGGGCATCTTGGTCACAGCCCTGGAGAGAGAGGTTGAAGTTCCCAGCCATGTTCCCGGGCTGCTTGTCGCCCAGCTTGAACACCTCGGGGTTGGTGGTGGAGCCCGGGATATAGTATTCCACCCGCTCCTCCTTCTTCTCGCAGTTGGAGACGTTGAAGTGAAGGAAGGAGACGCTGGCCCGCAGGTGCGGGGGGACCACAAACTGCCACGTCATGAGCTCGTCCTCAGGGAAGCCGTCGGGGTAGTTGGCAGACATCAGGGTGGCAGAACCTTCGCCTTCGAACACGGATTCGATGATGCACAGTCCTGTTGGGGGCGGGGCCCAAACGAGAAAGAGGGGGAGGTGATGAGACCTTGTGCAGGTTGTCCGTGGCTGGTGGGCAGCGGGGTCAGGAAGAGCTCAGCTCTGGAGCTCTGGGTCTGGTCTTACCCTCGCTAAGGACACATCGGTGGTGGGTGAGCGGGGGGGGGGGGGCGGGGGGTTAATGACCGACCCAGCAGGGGGGACACAAGCACCCTAACTTGGGGCGCCTGCCAGTTTCCTCGCAGCACGGCTGATTTCAAGCCACCAATGTGACATGAACGGGGAGTTGGGGGCAGACGCGCAGTCGCTCGTCACCATATGGTGTCCGCACCGTAGAGGGACAGTCAGCGTAAATAACCTCAGGAGCACAGAGAATGGTAAAATGCGGTGAAATAATTAGGAAGTGATGAGTTTTGAGCGCGCGTTACCTTTGTTTCTAGAGTAACTGTAAGTTTACAGAGTTTTATTTTTATTAGCAGCTCAGTTTAAGCCTCAGTTCACAAAATTCCTGAGCATTTAACACCCGGCTCTGGCCAACCACTGACACAATCACAGAACACGTGAAAGGGCTAGAAGGCAGGACAAAGAAATCAGAAACGGGGTGAGGAGAGGTCTGTGGGGCCAATCCCACTGCGTGTTTTGAAAACAAACCTCACAGGCAACAAAGGACCAAGAGAAGAGAGTGGCATCCTGGTTTGTTTAGTAGGGAAGGGTGACGGGGAGCCTGGGGCGCTCAGTCAGTTAAGCATCCGACTTCGGCCCAGGTCATGATCTCACGGTTCGTGAGTTCGAGCCCCGTGTCGGGCTCTGCACTGAAGCCCAGAGCCTGGAGCTGCTTTGGATTCTGTGTCTCCCTGTCTCTCTCTCTGCCCCTCCCCTGCTCACTCTCGGTCACTCTCTGTCTTTCAAAAATGAGTAAATGTTAAAAAAAAGAAAAAGTAGAGAAGGGTGATCACACCAGGAGAGCCACTCCACTTGCAGAAGAGAGGGGTCTTCCTTCAAGATATTCATACCAACACTGCCCACCACCTGACGGTCCAGAGCAACGGGGATTTTGTGCGTGTTTCAGCCTCACTGGGGACGGAGAGGGTGTGCTCACGTTTTATAGAAGACCGGTTTGCGATGCTGAAGCCAGAGACGTTTCTCTTGTGGAACCACGGCAAGTGCAAGGCCATTTTCACCCCTTCTTGCATTTTGATGCGGGACACAGTGCCGTTGCTGCAGAAGGTTCCGATCCTGACCACGGCGGCGTCGATGCGGCCGCTGATGTTGTAAGTGACTCCATCCGGGCAGCTCATGCCCGGCCCCACCTGCCTCAGGCGAGGAGCCGAGAACTGCAGCTCGAGGCCGATGCTCTTGTGGGCTTTGACATCCCAGACGAAAGTTCTGTTGAGGGTGGGCAGCACCGAGGTTGAGGGCTGAAGCGGGACCTCCCCGAAGGGACACGGGCCTGAAATGCAGTCTGAAACACAGTCACAAGAGCAAGCTGGTCACAAACGCTACAGGCCACTCACTGCTCCTCTCCACTCCTGTGGCAGACGTGGGGCCGCCAGGCAGGGGCACCCTCTCCTGGCTGCGTGTTGGCGGCCAATAGCTCACTCTTCTCTGGGGAACCGCCTCGGCTGGGGGAGCCCCCTTGGGCCAAAAAGCCTGAGAGGTCATCCTGCACCTACCCGCCCCTTCTTCCACCTCCTTCTGCCCCCTTCCCAATGTCCCAGGATGCCTAGCAGCCCAAGGCAGAAGTGAGTAAGCCAGACCTCCCTGCTTCGTGTCACACAGTCTGGGGTTGGCGCTCCGATGCCAGCATCAGCCTGTGGTTACACCATCTAAAACCACACCTTTGCTTACTTCTTCCTTTGGCTCTACCCCGCTTTTCTCACTGCTTCATAAGTTTCTTCCAAGCACACTCTCTCGACAAATGACTTAAAAAATCCCCGTGTCGGGGCACCTGGGTGGCTCAGTCGGTTAAGCCTCCGACTTCAGCTCAGGTCATGATCTCCCGGTTCAGAAGTTTGAGGCTGGCATCGGGCTCTCTGCTGTTAGCACGGAACATGCTTTGGATCCTCTGTCCTCCTCCCCGTCTCTACCCCTCCCTTACTCGTTCTCCCTCTTTCTCAAAAATAAACATTAAAAATATTTAAAAATATTTTTTTTAGGTTTTATTTTTTGAGAGACAGAGAGACAGAGCACGAGCAGGGGAGGGGCAGAGAGAGAGGGAGACACAGAATATAAAGCAGGCTCCAGGCTCTGAGCTTTCAGCACAGAGCCTGACATGGGGCTCGAACTCAGGACCCATGAGATCATGACCTGAGCTGGAGTCGGAGGCTTAACCAACTGAGTCACCCAGGTGCCTCTAAACATTAAAAATATTAACAACAAAAAATCCTCGTGTCAGGCTCTGCTTCCAAACCAAATGCAAGTCACCTCCTCGCTACAGTGTTTTCTAGATTTAGTCACTGTGGTTCAGTCGGTGGGCCTCAACTCCAGCCTTCCTGGAGGCCAGATGGAGGCCCTTTGCAATAGAGCCTGTGCTATGGGATATCTATCCCACTTCCCCCGGTCTGAGAAAGTCACGGTTTCACAATTTTTAAGGCACACTGCCAAGCTCCACCTTTCAAAACTGCTTTTCCCGTCGACATACCAAGTACGCTCTGAACGCCCAACCCCCTTAACGGCTGGAACCCGGAGGCACAGTTATGGACCTGCCTGGCGGCTGTAATGTTGGGGTTTTATTACCACTGCAGTTGACATTTTTTTTTTTAAAGGCCAGCAGCTGATGACATCCTTTGATGCACTTTTGTTTCCTAAGTCTTTTAAATCAAAGCAAGAAACCCTGCTCTGGAGGAGGGAGTAAGCATGTGGAGGAAGTGACAGAGAGCAGACACAGAACAGCGAGGCTGTCATCGACCCCGGCAGGGAATCAAGTGGACCGGTGTCCTGGCTCCCGGCCACTCTAAGGGGACTCTTTGAATCCTTACTGCTCCCTCCAGTGGGGTCTGAAAGTGCCGGCAACGCAAAGCAGGATTACGGGAGACTTTCAGAGCTGTCTAAGGAGCTCCGAGGTCATTGGCGCCCGAACGGTCATTGTTGCAAAGCAGTCCTGGAGTCTTGGTGACAGGTGTGTCTGCAATGCACGACACCCCAAGAGGAAAGAGGTGTCTGGTTCACCTGAGTTCTTGCCAGCAAGGTAGGCGCGCTGCCTAACCTACGAAACAGGGTTATATAATAGGGTGAGGAAGTTGGCCAGCATAGCTTTTGTGTGTGGGTAAAGAGTACCTATTCTTAGGAGCTCATGGAAACTTCATGCCATGTAGTCATTTCTTTCCGGGCTTGGCAGCCACGCATCCAGTGTGCCCAGGGCCACATGGATTGGCTTCCCCTGGGCTCCTGTGGGATCCTGTCACCCTAGTTAGACAGCGGTCTTCGTTTTTATGCTCTGGTACATTGGATGTTAGGGTTGTAAGAGCTTTATTCCACGAATTGTGAAATGACACCTATTTCTGTGCTCTAGAATAGGGAGGGGGTCAGCAAATCACAGCTTGTGGGGCTGGTCCCACCCAATACCTGCTACCGAGAAGAAACACGTGGGATGTCACTGCCCTTAGTTTACCTATTATAAGTGGCTGATTTTGTGCTGTTACAGGGCAGAGATGCTCTGAGATATCTACCCTCCAGGCTTTTACAGAAAAGGCTTGCCAACTTTCTTCTAGAATTTTTTTGGGATCATGACCTGAGCCGAAATCAAGAGTCGGGCACTCAACCGACTAAGCCCCTAGAATGGTTTAAATATTATAGAAGTTATCTTCTCCCTGACATATTATAGGATCCTTTGTGAAACCATCTCTAATAACCCAAACCCCGCTTTCCTCCATCTTGCATATTTTTTCCAGTCTCCTTGGTTATTTACCAGTTTGGGTTTCTTACCTTTCTATGAGTCAATCTGGCTCACTGAATTTTCCCTGAAAATCATTCCTTTTATTCAGATTTTCACATTTATTAGCATAATGGTGTACACAGTCTATTTTAGAAATCGCCTCTGTAAATGTCATGAAAGCAACGTTTAGCCTTTCAAAGCTGTATGTTTGTATTTTCTCTTTCTTTATTCCAGGAGACTAGTCAGAGATCTATTTAATTAGTCTTTACAGAGAACCACACTTTAGCTTTAGTTACCAGATGGAGTTTCAAAGCTGCAGGTAAGCACTTTAATTTCTTTTGTTTTTCTGAATGTCTTCTTCCTAAGGTTTATCTCTTTTCTTGCTTATCTATTGCCTGATTCATTTATTTTCAATGGAAAGCAAAGAAATTTCTAAAATATTTTAATGTTTATTTATTTAATTTTTTTATTAAAAAATTTTTTTAATGTTTTATTTATTTCTGAGAGAGAGAGACAGAGATAGAGACAGTGGGAGCAGGGGAGGGTCAGAGAGAGAGGGAGACACAGAATCTGAAGCAGGCTCCAGGCTCTGAGCTAGCTGTCAGCACAAAACTCGACGTGGGGCTTGAACCCATGAACCTGAGATCATGACCTGAGCTGAAGTCGGACGCTTAACTGACTGAGCCACCCAGGCGCCCCACTGTTTGTTTATTTATTTTTGAGAGAGAGAGAGAGAGAGAGAGACAAAGCATGAGCATGGGAGGGGCAGAGAGAGAGGGAGACACAGAATGTGAAGCAGGCCCCAGGCTCTGAGCTGTCAGCACAGAGCCCGACGTGGGGCTCAAACCTACAAACTGTGAGATCATGACCTGAGCCGAAGTCAGACGCTCAACTGACTGAGCCACCCAGGTGCCCCAGCAAAGACATTTTTTGAGTATGGCTTTGATTGGATCCCAAATAGTGTTCTCCTTGTTACTACATTTATGTGCCTCGTTGGCATGCCCACCTTAAAATGATTAGGAAATTACACATGTAATTCTTTCTGCCTGGTTATTATATCTCATGTGAATCTCTTCATCCCAAGTTCAAGTTGTGAGTAATAGCAATAGCAATAATACCAAAGAGTCAGAGTTTGTTGAATCCTTGTGTCAGACATCTTCAGTGATTAGTTTATTTCACCCTCATGAGAACCCTATTGGTTGGTGCAATGCCTACGAAGCCATGTGATGAGCTCAGGTGACCAAGAGCCTGAAGCTTGAAGCCAGACCTAGATCCCTAAGCCTCAAAGCTTCTGTTTTCCTCAGCGTGCTTAGTGGACCCACCTCTCCACCCGTATCTGCTCAACCCGCCACTCCTTTTCTTTTTTAAAAAAATTTTATTTTAAAGTAATCTCGGGGTGCCTGGGTGGTTTAGTCGGTTAAGCGTCCGACTTTCACTTAGGTCATGATCTCGCAGTTTGTGGGTTCGAGCCCTACGTCGAGCTCTGTGCTGACTGCCAGCTCAGAGCCTGGAGCCTGTTTCAGTCTGTGACTCCCTCTCTCTCTGACCCTCCCCTGCTCATGCTGTCTCTCTCTCTCTCTCTCCTAGAAATAAATAAAAAACATTTAAAAAAAATAAAGTAATCTCTACATCCAACATGAGACTCAAACCTACAACCCCGAGATCAAGAGTCACATGCTCCACTGACTCAGCCAGCCAGGAGCCCCTCCAATTTCTTTGTCTTCCGACGCCTTTCCTTTTTGCTCCTCATCGGCAAAATTTTAGCTTAAAACGAAATTAGTTTAAATTTGAATTAAATTAGCTTTAAAGTTTCAGTTTAAAAACGTTAAACTTTATGGGGTGCCTGGGTGGCTCAGTCGAGCGTCCGACTTTGGCTCAGGTCATGATCTCACGGTTTGTGGGTTCAAGCCCTTTGTTGGGGCTCTGTGCTGACAGCTAGCTCAGAGCCTGGAGCCTGTTTAGGAGTCTGTGTCTCCCTCTCTCTCTTACCCTTCCCTGCTCACGCTATGTCTCTCTCTCTCTCTCAGAAATAAATAAAACATAAAAAAAACCAAAAACCATTAAACTTTAGTTGAAAAGCACTTTGGCACATCAGCTGGAGTATCCCAGACCTGAAGATCTGAAGCTTTATCAAGAAACAGTGTGGTGGGGGCCCCTGGGTGGCTTAGTTGGTTGAGCGTCTGACTTTCGCTCAGGTCATGATCTCGCGGTTCGTGGGTTCAGGCCCCGCGTCGGGCTCTGTGCTGACTGCCAGCTCAGGGCCTGGAGCCTGTTTCAGTCTGTGACTCCCTCTCTCTCTGACCCTCCCCTGCTCACGCTGTCTCTCTCTCTGTCTCTCTCCTAGAAATAAATAAAACATTAAAAAAAATTAAAAAAAAAAAAAAAAAGAAACAGTGTGGTGGACACCTGGGGGGCTCAGTCGGTTCAGCGTCTGACTCTCGATTTTGTCTCAGGTCACAATCTCACAGTTCATGAGACTGAGCCCCGCATTGGCCTCTGCGCGGACGGTGCGGAGCCTGCTTGGGATTCTCTCTCTCCCTCTCTGTCTCTCTGCCTCTCCCTCTCTTGTGCACTCACTGTCTCTGTGAGTTTCTCAAAGGGCTGTTTTGGAGATTCAAGAACTTAACCTGCGTAAAGCACTTAGAACCGTCTGTTGCCACATAACAGCTAAACAGTGTGGACTTTCAGAATCTTACCTCTCTAGCATTAGAGACCGGTTCAGCACCGGAAAGCAGAGGCAGGGAGGCCAAACAGTTAATGAGTGTGTACTTACCAATATTCTTCTGGATCTCAATGACAAAGTGCTTCTCTGGGTCCTGGCAGTTAAAGGAAAAGACCACCTTTTCTCCAGATCTGATGGTCAACGTGGTTAAATGTCTTTTACTACTGATGATGTAACAGGGCTTCACCGGCAGAGCTGGGGTCCCAGGCGTTATGAGAACCATAAGGCCACTTCCAGGTGGCAGAGCAATCTCGGAAGCTTCTGGAAGAAGGAAGAAAAACGGGAGTGAGCAGGATGCTTTAGATCTCCAGATGTGCTGCCTTTCCCGCTGCTGTTCCGGGGAGGACACCCTCTCTGACACCTTTGCTCCCTCCCTCCTGGTCTCAGAAGGAGAGTGGTGTAAAATGACAGTGCTGTCCTTACCGATGGGAAAGAGCCAGGCTATGACCGATGGGGTTCTGACAAGTATCTGTTTGCTTTATTTAAAAAAATGTTTTTAAAGTTTATTTCTGAGAGACAGAGCATGAGCAGAGGGTCAGAGAGCGAGGAAGACACAGAATCCGAAGCAGGCTCCAGGCTCTGAGCTGTCAGCACAGAGCCCAACGTGGGACCCAAACCATGAGATCATGACCTGAGCTGAAGCCGGATGTTTAACTGACGGAGCCACTCAGGTGTCCCTCTTGTTTCCTTGATTAATTTTTCTAAAAGTTAGAAACACTATGCCACATCCTAGATGCCTTGAGCAATAAGTGTTCAGATACCCTGTCTGTGCAGGTATCTGAGAAACTGCCACACCTCTTCTCAATGTGACTGTAGACGAAAGTCCACGTACAGAAACCATCTATTTACAGCGACATATTTGTTTGCAAAGAGCCGCTGTCTCCTGCCCTGAGCACTTCGCCCACCGGGGATACGCATACCTACAGTAGTGGAGGCTAGGAAAACGTATGCACATTAGATATAAACACATTGTGTCAACGAACTTTGAAAGTTAGAGCTAAATGATGCTAATACTGCAGACTGGGGTTCCGCAAAATGATCTGAATGGACAATATCAAGCCAGTGGGATGGGGGTTGATCATTAAACAGAGGTGTATGCAATTGGTCAGGACGGGGCCCTGATTCATGAACGAGAGCCATCTCGGCCCCTTCCCCAACTTGGGTCCTGATTTTGGATCTCTGGGTAGCTGACGGCCGGGGGCAGCGGATGAGGGGGCAGTCACGTGTAGGTGAGTCCCATGGAGGGAACCCAGGGGCTCACAGAGACATGCAGGGCTACATGGGTGTTCTGTCCCACCATGTTCTGGCACAAAGGTGTGCTCAGTACCTGTTCATGCACCTGCTCATGGAAGGTGCCCAGTAAGTGTCCAGCCAATGAGTCAAAAGCAATCTAACCAGCTATGCTTTCTCCAACCTTTTTATAAATTTATTTTTAAAATATTTATTTTTTTAATTTTTAAAATTTATTTCTGAGAGAGAGAGAGACAGCATGAGTAGGGGAGGGTCAGAGAGAGAGGGAGACACAGAATCTGAAACAGGCTCCAGGCTCTGAGCTAGCCGTCAGCACAGAGCCCGACGCAGGGCTCGAACCCATGAACCGTGAGATCATGACCTGAGCTGAAGTTGGACGCTTAACCGACTGAGCCACCCAGGTGCCCCATAAATTTATTTATTTATTTATTTAAAATGTTTTTTTATTTATTTCTAGGAGAGAGAGAGAGAGAGACACAGCGTGAGCAGGGGAGGGTCAGAGAGAGAGGGAGTCACAGACTGAAACAGGCTTCAGGCTCTGAGCTAGCAGTCAGCACAGAGCCCGACGCGGGGCTCGAACCCACGAACCGTGAGATCATGACCTAAGCGAAAGTTGGACGGTTAACCGACTAAGCCACCCAGGCGCCCCTCCATAAATTTATTTTTAAAAACAAATTTCTTGGTGTGCTTGGGTAAGCATCTGGTTAAGCTCAGGTCATTAATCTCTCCGTCTGTGGGTTTGAGCCCTGCATTGGGCTCTGGGCTGACAGCTCAGAGCCTGGAGCCTGCTGCTGATTCTGTGTCTCCCTCTCTCTCTGCCCCACCCCTGCTCACGCTCTGTCTCTTTCTGTCTCTCAAAATTGAATTAATGTTAAAAAAAGTTAAAAGCAAATTTATTGAGGGGCGCCTGGGTGGCTCAGTTGGCTAAACGTCCAATTCTTGATTTCAGTTCATGTCATGATCTCACAGTTTGTGGGCTTGAGCCCCACCTAGGCCTCGACATTGAACATGGAGTCTGCTTGGGATTCTCTCCCCCGACCCTGTCCCTCCCCTGCTCACTTGAGCATGTGCCATATCTACCTCTTGTGCGCATGTGCTTTCTCTCTCCCTCTCTCTCTCAAAATAAAAAATAAAGTCAACTTTACTGAGCTATAATTTGCATACATTTTTTAATGACCCAGTCATTTTAAGAGTTTTAACAAATGTATACACACATAACCACTATCACAATCAAAATATATAAATTTTTCATCACCCCTAAGTGTTCCTTTAATGTCATTTTGCAGTCAGCCTGGGCTTCTGGTCCCAGAAAACTATCCATTGGTTTTGCCCCATCCAGACCTTCATATAAACAGAATCCTACAGTATATTCTCTTTTGTACCTGGTTTCTCTGCTTAGCATATTTGTGAGATTAATCCACTTTTCCTGCAGGGATTAGTACTTTTTTTTTTTTTTATTCGTAAGTAGTGTGCTATTATCTGTATAGACCACAGTGCATTTATTTCCATGCACCTGCTGGGTGACATTTGAGTTCCTTCCAGTTTTTTGACTGGCCACGTGCTTTAATTTTATCAAAACTGCTAGCTTGCATGAGAGCTACATGCATTCTTCTTCCCACGGGAAGGTATGAGCATACTTGTATTCCCCATGCCAGCAGCTATGTGTGATAAAGTGCCGGGACTTCCGTCCACCTCTTCTTCTTCTTCTTTTTTAAAATGTTTATTTATTTATTTTTGAGAGAGAGAGAGAGAGCACAAGCAGGGGAGGGTCAGAGAGAGGGAGGGAGACACAGAATCTGAAACAGGCTCCAGGCTCTGAGCTAGCTGTCAGCACAGAGCCCAACGCGGGGCTCGAACCCATGAACTGTGAGATCATGACCTGAGCCGAAGTCGGACGCTTAACCAACTGAGCCACCCAGGCGCCCCCCGTCCACCTCTTATTGAACCTCTCTCCCCCTTGTTTGCTCTGCTCTGGCCTGGGCCAGCCAGCCGCTCTTTATATAGTGTGGTAATGGAGCCCTCTGCCTGTGAGGGAAGAACTTTACCCTTTTTGGGCCTCTGTTCCCCCATTTATAAAAGGAGGGGGCTGGGCCAGAAAAAACCTCCCATTTCCTGCCAGCTCCCAGTCTGTGATCAGTACCTGAGTCAGAAGTGACTTTGCGACTGTTGGCATCGCCTGTTCGCATCCCCAGCTACTGCCCAGCCGTGACGTGAGCCTCAGGGCGCCAGGACAGCACCTCGACTGCCTTCCCGACTTTGCCTTCAAGACGGCTTCGGTTTGCATTTTGGGGGCAAAATGTCTTCATCTCTCCAACTCCAGCTTGTGCCCCTCTCTGTTTTGGTCACCGTGCTCAGCGACCACCTTGGCCTTCTTTCTTGACCACGTGAACCTCTTTCCCATCCCCGGGGCCTTTGTATGCGCTAGTCTTGATTTCTAAAAGGCTCTTTCTCTAGCAAAACCTAGGTCCTTTTGGTCATTCCAGTCTCAGCTCAAAGGTTATCTCCTCAGAGTGACCTTCCCTGACCAGCCTCCTCAGTGCCCCCCCCAACCTCTCCCCCTGCTCCCCAGTCTTCCTGCTTCATGTCCCTCCCTGCTCTGGTCTTTGAGAGCACCCTGTTCCTTGATCATTTGTTTTCGCCTCCTGTGATCAGAACGGGAGCACCTTCCTACTGGAAGGCAGCAGGAATTTGCCTGTCATTCTCCGTGGTGGCCTCAGGATCTTGCTGTCCCATGGGGGCCGAAGTTACAAGCCCCCCAACAGCTCCGTGGAAAACTGTAATCTCCTTATTCTTGCCTTTGCTGCATTTGGCAGCATCTCACAGACAGACAGACAGACAGACCACCACTCCTGTATTTCTGTTTGGGCTAATAAATCTTGGTGGGAACCAGGGGCTCCAAGCTTTTTAATTAACAGCCTCAGAGAGAGAAAACATTCTCCCTGGCAGAACTTCATTTACTCCAATGCTTCATCTTCAAGCAGTGTCACCATTTAAAATCTTCAGGGACGGACCTGAAGGCTTGGGGGCTCTTTAGGACATCAGGTCAAAATGAATCCAGGGGCACCTGGGTGGCTCAGTCGGTTAAGCGTCTGCCTTCGGCTCAGGTCGTGATCTCGCGGTTTGTGAGTTCTTGAGCCTCACACAGGGCTCTCTGCTGTCAGCACAGAGCCGGCTTCAGATCCTCTGTCTCCCTCTCTCTCTACCCCTCCTCTGCTTGTGCACACCCCTCTCCCGCCCATCGCAAAATAAATAAATAAATAAATAAATAAATAAATAAATAAAAACTTAAAATGAATCCAGATCCGTGTTCGGAAACCCAGTTGCCAGACTCCCATCGGAGCGGTATATGTCAACCTTGCGTTCCTTTTCGGCAATCGTAAAAATGTCTCCCCAAGTTATTTGTAAAAAAAAAAAACTCTTGGAACACCCAGTCTCGGGAGGCATGGCATGCTCTCCGGCGGCCTCCGACCTTGGGTCTCTGGGGGGCTAACTCATTGTCAAGCGAGGCTGCGTCCAGCTTCCCGACTGCAGCCCAGCTTAGCCAGCTGACCAATTTCCTCCCCATTCTTACTTCTCTTCTGTCTGCATTTCCACCCTTTGGCCACAGCATTATTTCAAAATTCCCGACTCCAGGGGCGCCTGGGTGGCTCAGTTGGTTAAACGTCTGACTCAGCTCAGGTCATGATCTCGAAGTCTGTGGGTTCGAGCACCGCGTCGGGCTCTGTGCCGTGAGCACGGAGTCCTCTTTGGATTCTCTGTCTCCCTCTCTCTCTCTGCCCCTTCCCTGCACCTGCTCCATCTCCTTCTCTCTCAAAAACAAATAAACATTAAAAAAATTCCCGACCCTACAATTATTATTGTTATTTTCATTAAGTGTTAGGCCGTAAGCAGACCAACAGTTGGCTGACGCTGGAGGTGGGGGCAGGGGATGGGAGCCCAGGGGCCAGAAGAGCCTTTGCAGGACGGGAGAACCGGTCTGTATCTTGACCATGGAGGTGACTATACACTGT